TAATTTTTTTTTTTTTTTTTTTTTTTTTTTTTTTTAATTTAAAATTATGATATTAAGTCAGCATATCTCTGCACCAGTTGCGTTTTAGTCGCCTAGGAGGATTTCCCGGAATAACATTTGATGAGAGTGTTTTGACTAAAGGATTTGAGTGAGTTGCAAGCCTTTTATGAAATCTTTTATAATAAATAGCAGCTACTTCTTTAATAGTTTTAATTTTTAGGTCTGTGTGGAGAGTTTTTAAATATAAAATGTATAACTTAATATTATTTTAAATTAAACATTATTTTATGTCCTTCATTAATTACAATCACAGGGTACCTAGAGACCGTAAAGGACATATTTCTCATTTAATTATTTTGCATCTTTAATAAATTACATTCATTTTTATACATTTTCTAATACATATATTACAGTTATACACCTCTGATCATAATAACTATTCGTTTATTATAATGTAAGCAATAATTAGTTTTTGGGTTGTATAGTTAAAATGTACCTTCCAGCGTATTCTTTTGTTTAGTGTTAATTCACATGGGTTCCTTGTAATCTAATTTTTTCGATTAATTTTACTCTAGTAGATCTTTTTGTACAAACGTTTTTAAACAAGCAATTTAATCATTGATATGTGTTCTGATTGTATAATTTTTTCTAAATTTTTTTTGGGTTTTCTAAAATGCTTTTGCCTGCGGGCGCCAACACTCCCCTTCAATTTTTCTTTTAGGAATTTGACTCTAGTTGAATTTTTTGAATAGACCTGAATATTGTTAACAAGCAGGTGCCCTCTGGATCATCATTCATTAATGAGCTAATCATTGGCAGTTTTGTTTTTTCTGTTTTGGATTCTAGACGTTTTAGTTTGAACTCTTCAATATGCCTTATTAGTGTATAGTTTTTTCTAAATTTTTTTTTGGTTTTCTAAAATGCATTTGCCTGCGGGCGCCAACACTCCCCTTCACATTTTTCTTTAGAATTTGTGTCTGGTTACAATTTTGGTATAGACTTGAATATTGTTAACAATCAGGTGCCCTCTGTATCATCATTCTTTAATTAGCTAATCATTGGCACTATTGTTTTTTCTGTTTTGGATTCTGGACATTTTAGTTTGAACCCTTCAATATGTGTTCCTATTGTATGATTTTTTCTAAAATGCATTTGCCTGCGGGCGCCAACACTCCCCTTCAATTTTTTTTTTAGAAATTTGACTCTAGTTAAATTTTTTGCACAGACATGTTTATTAATTACCTTCAGGTGCCCTTTGTATTATCATACTTTAATGAGCTTATCATCGTCTGTTGTTTTTTCTGTTTAAGATTCTGGACATTTTAGTTTGAACCCTTCAATATGTGTTCCTATTGTATAATTTTTTCTAAATTTTTTTTGGGTTTTCTAAAATGCTTTTGCCTGCGGGCGCCAACACTCCACTTCAATTTTTCTTTTAGGAATTTGACTCTAGTTGAATTTTTTGAATAGACCTGAATATTGTTAACAAGCAGGTGCCCTCTGGATCATCATTCATTAATGAGCTAATCATTGGCAGTTTTCTTTTTCTGTTTTGGATTCTAGACGTTTTAGTTTGAACTCTTCAATATGCCTTATTAGTGTATAGTTTTTTCTAAATTTTTTTTTGGTTTTCTAAAATGCATTTACCTGCGGGCGCCAACACTCCCCTTCACATTTTTCTTTAGGAATTTGTGTCTGGTTAAAATTTTGCTATAGACTTTAATATTGTTAACAATCAGGTGCCCTCTGTATCATCATTCTTTAATGAGCTAAACATTGTCAGTTGTTTTTTCTGTTTAAGATTCTGGACATTTTAGTTTGAACCCTTCAATATGTGTTCCTATTGTATGATTTTTTCTAATTTTTTTTTGCTTTTCTAAAATGCAATTGCCTGCGGGCGCCAACACTCCCCTTCACATTTTTCTTTAGGAATTTGAGTCTAGTTGAATTTTTTGCACAGACTTGAATATTGATAACATCCATTTGCCTTTTGTATTATCATAATTTAATGTGCTGATCATCGTCAGATTTTTTTGTATTTAAGATTCTGGACATTTTAATTTGAGCTCTTTCATTTGATTTCCTACTGTATAATTTTTTCTAAATTTTTTTTTTGGTTTTCTAAAGTCCATTTGCCTGCGGGCGCCAACACTCCCCTTCACATTTTTCTTTAGGAATTTGAGTCTAGTTGAATTTTTTGCACAGACTTGAATATTGATAACATCCATTTGCCTTTTGTATTATCATAATTTAATGTGCTGATCATCGTCAGATTTTTTTGTATTTAAGATTCTGGACATTTTAATTTGAGCTCTTTCATTTGATTTCCTACTGTATAATTTTTTCTAAATTTTTTTTTTGGTTTTCTAAAGTCCATTTGCCTGCGGGCGCCAACACCCCCCTTCACATTTTTCTTTAGGAATTTGACTCTGGTTAAATTTTTGTTATAGACTTGAATATTGTTAACAATCAGGTGCCCTCTTTATCATCATTTTTTATCGAGCTAAACATTGTCATTTGTTTTTTCTGTTTAAGATTCTTTACATTTTAATTTGAGCTCTTTCATTTGATTTCCTACTGTATAATTTTTTCTAAATTTTTTTTTGGTTTTCTAAAATCCATTTGCCTGCGGGCGCCAACACTCAACTTCAATTTTTTTTTTAGGAATTTGACTCTAGTTGAATTTTTTGCACAGACATGTTTATTAATTACCTTCAGGTTCCCTTTGTATTATCATACTTTAATTAGCTTATCATCGTCAGATTTTAAATTGAGCTCTTTCACGTGTTTTCCTATTGTATAATTTTTTCTACATTTTTTTTTTGGTTTTCTAAAATGCATTTGCCTGCGGGCGCCAACACTCCCCTTCAATTTTTTTTCTAGGAATTTGACTCTAGTTGAATTTTTGGAATAGACTTGAATATTGTTAACAAGCAGGTGCCCTTTGTTTCATCATTCCTTAATGAGCAGTGGCGTAGCAAGGGTATGGCGAACTGTGCCTACGCCAGGGTCGCAAATTATGAAGGGGCGCAAATTTGTGCTTTTAAATTGGTAATTATTTTTATTCTACCTTCAAAACGACATTTCTTTATTACCTTTTCGACTATACATTTTGAAATGTGTATGATTTTGTTTATCTTGTTCATCTTTAAATTCGTGTTTCATGTGTGTGTGTGTGAACACTGAACATCGAGCTTATCGTTATCGGATCGCCCTTGGCCCGTCTATAAAGTAGATATAATAAGTAATAATAAGTAGTATATATATTATTATATTATTTGTCGTCTATATATCAATAATCTTATTTTTAAAATTGAAGATAGTGCGTATTACAATGCATAGTACGATGCAGGTAATTGTATTGATTGATATGGCACCGATTGATTTATTAAAATTTATTCATAAACAAAACTTGCAAGATATTTATCCTAACATAGAAATAGCGTTAAGAATATATCTCACTATTCCAGTAACAATTGCTAGTTGCAAAAGAAGTTTTAGTAAACTTAAACTAATAAAAATTACTTAAGATCAACTATTGGACAAGAGAGACTAACAAGCATGGCAATTTTATCCATAGAACATAAATTTGCTAAACAAATTTCATATGACGAAATCATCAATGAATTCTCTAGCCTTAAAGCAAGAAAAGAAAATTTTTAAAGTTTGAAATTTACATTATCATAATAACTGATTATTATTATTATTATTATTATTTATTTATTATTATTTTTTTTAATTTAAATTTTAAAAAATATCATTCCGTATTTTCGTCAATTTTTTAATCGCTAAAAAGGCGCATTTTCCTAGGTTTGCCAGGGGCGCTAACGAGTCTTTCTACGCCACTGTTAATATGCACACAATAAAAAACTGTAAATTAACGATTCACAATAAATCAGATTCAAATTGAATGTGAATTCAACCTACCCGTCATCGTCACTTCACAAAAAGATTAATAGATTGTAAAATTATATTATCAATTTTTTTTACTAGTGTATACTCAGGGCCGTATTTATGGGGGGGGGGGGCCAACATGAAGTGGTCGGAAATTTGTTCCCTTGTGAATTATTAACATTTTTAAAATTTAAATTATTTCAATAACAGTTTTGAAAACCGTCAAGGTATATAATGTGAAAAGATATAATCCGAAGAAACATTTCCAGCGTTATTCTTTCGAAAAACATGCATTACAACAACAAATTAAAATTTGGAAATTAATATAATTGGAATAAGTTGACTTTAAAAAAATGTGTGAAACAAAAGGGAGTAACTACTAGATAGCCGTGTCCTTATAATATTATTCTTGTTCTATGTTATGATCAAAGTTTGCCGCCATTTAAAAAGCAGGCAATGTTTACAACAAGGTGTATTGATAAATGATAATACACCTTGGTTTACAAAATATTATTATCACAGTATATATGTATATTATTGTTCTGTGATCTTATTTTATATGAATCGATGTAAAATAAATGTGAGCATTGCTGTTTTATAGCGGCCGACTTCAACATTCATGGTCACAACTTTTTATCTATGGGTAAATACCATAGAGTATGGTATATAACTCTTTGGTAAATACACAAGTGGGCAGATTAATGATAACCGATTACCGATTGCCGCCAAAATGTGTTGTTCGCTCAATCGATCGACGATTATTATTATTTCTTATTGTATTGGGTTTAAGGTTATAGCCTGTGCAACTGAGGGATACTCTATTGACTGATGAATTTGGCTGTACAAGACCAGGTACATATTGCACATGCACATGGCACAGGTAGATAAGCAGAAGTTGTGAAATGAGTTTTTCGAACCGGTGTTTTATCGTCCACGCTCGTCGCTTTTCGACGATTGAGTGATCAGTGATCGTATCTAAATGTGTCGTGTATACTTTTTGTACAGTTTTCCATAAATTGTATCATACCACAATTACTTAGTCACTAAAAGTGAATTTCTTCCCGTCATCTTATATTTCATATACATGAACTTGGTGAAAAATCAACATGTCGAAAAACACGTTGTTCAATTACTTTACCAGGTCACCCAGCTCCGGGGCGCCCAAAACCATCGGATCTCCCAAGCCCGATGGTGTCGTGGCGTCGAAGACCCCATCAAAACCGTCCAATTCTAATAAGGATAGCTCTGTCACTCCTAAGAGGACACCGAAGTCTGCAGTGAATGGAAGTTCAGGAAAAAAAACCATCATCAGCAACGGCGGTAGTACAAAGAAAAATACTGAGAAAAGAAAAACTAGACCGCTTGGTAATGACTAATTATATATATAGCTATTGCCTATTAATAAGTAGGTACCCACCTTTTGTTGATTTTCCTATTGGAGTGATTCCGATTTCAAAGACAGAGACAATGGATACTTAGTTGTTTTACTGATAAATTAACATTAAAACTAGTCTTATAAAGAACTTGGACAAAGTATTTTAATACTTTCTCAAAGTATCTGTACCTCTTTAGAAAAAATAACTTATTTTCTTTTTAGTTCATATATTTTCTATTATAATTTAAATAGTAAAAACAACTATTCAGTTGATTTATAAAGTTTATGGTTAATGTTGTGGTTATGTTATGCAAAACGGTTGAATGTATTTGAAAGTATCTAGGTATAAATGCTTTTGCTTATGTATTTATATTTGTACTTTTTTTACCAAGTACTTCAAATATGTATTTTAAAATATCTAAGTATCTGTACCTGTACTTGAATACTTTTATAAAGTACTTATATTTTACAAGACTCCATAAAATCATTAATGTTAATGTTCATGTACTTTGTTTGTTATAACTTCTTAAATTACTACAATTTGGTCACCTTTACTATTAAACCATTTGGTTTTTGTCTACTATAAATATTGTTTCATAAGTGTATAAATAGTAAATTGATTTTTTCAGTACAGTGGCGCCAAAGTCCATGTTTAATATAAACATTTGGCTGGGTCCATTGGAGAATAAAATTATGAAAATTAATAGGAATAGGATCACAAATTATTAAGTAATATTGCCCAATGAGAGTAATAACAATATTAATATTGTATACATACTATTATAATATAATATACAAGGTTGCATTTTGTACTATCGTTTCAGCCGCTGCAAGTAATTAAATATAATTTTAATTTTTAATATTATTACATACGTATTGGTTGAAAAAAAAATAGAAAACTGATCAAAAATAAAACAAAAGTGGGTGGCAAATTGTTTGTGAGAGGTTACAAATTTTCATAGTGAGTTTTTTTTTTGGGGTGGAGTGGGTGATTGTCAGAGATCCTTGCCAGTACTTCGGCACCACTGTTTCAGTATCATGACAAACATAGGTATTCAAATATAATATGCTGTCAATGTTTAACTACCCAGTGCCCATGCATAAAGTATATATAATTGGACTAGGTAGATAGGTTGGATTAGGTAAAACCGGGTATAACTTAGCTTATGTTGATTAATTATTAGAAATAAATACTTCTATTTAAACTGACAAGACTCAATAATTGTACAATTCCTCATATCTTTAATCATATGTCTGAACTTGTATCCATAATAGTTCTTAACTAAAGCTGTACCTAACCAGCCAAAATATAACTCTTTTCTATAGTATTTGCAAAGTTTTATTTTTATAACATGGACATTTAACTAAGAATATTTACATTAAAAAAATTTAAAATAACAACTTCATGATGTTTATAATAATTATTTATTTATTGTTTTTAGATGAATCTATAGAAGAAAATGAAGAAAATGAAGAGTTGCCTAGGAAAAAACGTCGCAGGCTTGCATTAGAAGATTTAAGCGGTGATGAAGAAGATTCAGGCGATGAATATGTGCCAGGTATTGTGTTTTAAATAAATAACCTCGTAAATAACTATAGATCTAAGTTTTTAGATTTAATTTAAGTTCTGTTTACTAGTGACCATTAGTATTTTAGATCTGTATTAATAATTTATACTTATTGTATAAAAATTATTTTTAGATAAGAAAGCTTTAAAAGAATCTGAATCCGAAGAAAGTCCAGAACCATCTGACAGTGATTCATTTATTGATGATGGATCTGATGAAGAAGTATCCCCTGTTAAAGTATATTATAATATTTTTGAATTTTAATCACCATTTAATACTAACATATTCTCAACTATTTAGATGAAAAGTGGGAAAAATACAAAATCTGTTGGAAAATCTAAATTTAATAAATTTAATAAATCGTATACTCCTGCTGTGGACAAATCTACCAAAGAAGTAAAACTATTATTTTTATGAATATTTTTTATTTCGCCAAATAATTAATTTCCAAACTAATATTACAAATAATCGAAATATGTATCCTGTTAACAGACAACCAAAATTAATGGAGTTGATCACGACAATTGGCCTCATTTAAAACTTGAATTTTTGAAACCAGAAAAAATCAAAGATGCTAATAAGAAATCACCATCTGATCCCAACTATAATCCTCGAACATTATATGTACCAGAAGATTTTAAACTGACATTAACTCCGGTAAATATATTTTTGAAATTTATCACCAAATAAGTATTACATAACTATATATTCATATTAGGGAGTTCGTCAGTGGTGGGAGTTAAAAGCAAAACATTTCGATTGTATATTATTTTTTAAAGTTGGAAAATTTTATGAGATGTATCATATGGACGCTGTTACAACTGCTAAAGAACTTAATCTTTTATACATGAAGGTATTTATACGAAGATATACAGTTAATCTGTAAACTATATTTCAAATAAGTCTGATAAAACTGCACAGCTTCAGAAGACCAGGATAGCTGCGATTGGTTCTAACACACAGACTGCACATGGGTATACCACGATGTGATTCTGTTGTGATTTTTCATCAGACTTATTTGGAATAGAATATAGTATATAGTATTCACTATTCAGTAATTTATTTAAGACTTATTATATTTCATAGCTTACAGCAAACAAATTATAAATGGGTATGAGAGTTTAGGTTTGTTGAAATAATATAAATATTAAATAGGTACATATTTCTAAGATATATTGCCAACTTGTGTAGTTGGTTTTAATATGAGAGTGAATTGACCTATTATAAAATTAAAAGATTAGAATATTAAATTATTACTTGTGTTTTTATGATATTTTAATTTTAAAGTGATCATGTATATTTTTTAATATTTTACATTCACTCTTTTATTAAAGCTGAGTACTCAAAATTTGTTTTGCTGATTGCAAATTTGGTATATTGTATGTCTGTAAGATGGAAACAATTCATACAGTGTGAATGTGTGATGTATTGTGATGTCCTCTTAAAGCGGGCTTTACACGTAGAATTAGAATATAATCACATTCTCAAATAAAAAATATGAAAGCTTTTCAAACTAAGTTTTAAATATTAATACATTTAGGGAGACTTTGCTCATGTGGGATTTCCAGAAACTGCCTATGGTCGTTTCTCTGCAATTCTAATAGAAAAAGGTTATACTGTAGCTCGTATTGAACAGACCGAAACACCAGATATGATGACTGAAAGATGTAAAAGTTGTAAGTTATTAAATGTTATTATAAATAATAATCTATAATATTTAATATTAAACAATGTTTTTTTTAGTAAAAAAGAGTACTAAATTTGATAAAGTAGTGCGGCGTGAAATATGTCGTATTACAACCAAAGGCACTAGGACTTTTGGTATTATTGATGGTGAAACAAATGATGCTGAAAATTCATTTTTGATAGCTATATCTGAAAAAGTATTTATATTTTATATTTAAACTTATTGCCGTACTTATACATATATGCATAATTGTTATTTAGGAAATTAGTAGTTCAACTTCGTTATATGGTGTGTGCTTCATTGATACATCTATTGGTCTCTTCCATCTTGGGCAATTTGAAGATGACTGTCATTGCTCACGCTTAAGAACCTTGTGTGCTCATTACCCACCAGTACAAGTAAATAATTGCTTATTGGATATATTTGTATAAGTGTTTACTCTTTTTGAATGACAACATGCAGTTTTAATTTCTTCTTTTAAATCATAATATTTTCTGAGTATTTCGATACATAAAAATCCAATTTAGGATTAGTAGTTTATGATTTATAAATATTTAAAGTTTAGATGATGAAGTGTAGTGGTACACAATTACCACTCAAAATGTTGGTCTACTACTCCGCTCATCTAAACTTTAAATTCTTGTAACTTAAATCTGACCCCCCCCCCCTGGTATGTACATAATGTATTGCTTTTTGTGTATTAATTTAATACATTTTATATGAAAATGTATATTAATAATTATCCTTCTCATCTAAAAACAAAAACGGTGTGATCAGGGTTATTTTTAATATAAAATTAACTATGGTATATTGGTACTTATGATAATTAAATATATTATTTAGGTAAAATGTACATTAAATACTATTTAAATTGTCGATTGATTGATATAAAGAAGTAAGATGAAGAAAAATGATAAAAGATGACTACATTAAGTTATTTACATGGTTTAATTTGAAATAATGTTTACTGATTAGGTAATAGATGTAAAATATATGTTTATATGGATTTTGTAGTGTAAAAGCAATTATGTAAACAAAAAAATTAACATCAAACCAATATTTACCATAAAACTACAATCAATCACCAATATACACTATACACTCCTACTTATATTAAATATTAATATATTTTATTTTAGGTTTTATTTGAACGTAATAAATTGACAGTACGTACTAAAAAGGTCATTGATACTATGCTCTCTAGTGCTGTTAAAGATGCACTCACCCCTGACATAGAATTTTGGCCATCATCAAAAACTTTGATTACTTTAGCAGAAGGAGATTACTTTAAAAACGACAATAATGTAGTATATCCAGAAAAATTAAAAACATTTTTGGGCAGTGGTAAATATTATTATTTAAAATGCACATTATTTTTTTTTTGACATATAATTATTGTTTAGAGGACTCCACACCTGCATGTGTTGTTGGCTCCATCTCAAACATTCAACATGCTAAATTTATGTTCTGAAGTATCAATTTTGTGTATAATGCTTTAATAATAGAGTTAATTGAATTATTATATAATTAAACATCTGTGTTTTCACATGGGTTGTTACCATATTTAAATTTTTAGGCAAGTTTTATGAATGTAAAATATTAAAATAATTCTGGCCAAAGCACAGAAAATGTTTTTACTTTTTACTTTAAAGATTGATAATATGTCAAATCACTTTTATGTAAAAAGCATATTACTCAAAATTAGAACTGCTGAATATAAATTTTTTATGTTGTACGTTTTTAAGATGGATACAATACATGCGAGTATAGTGTCCTTAAAATGATACACCATTCATATAATATATAAATATATAGTAATAATAATATAGAACCTATTGTGTTAAAATTATAACAATTTAATAATTGTTTTAATTTATTTCAGACTCTGACTTACAATTGAATGCTAATGACGAATGTGAGTTTGGTATTCGAAGTTTGGGTGCTGTTATATGGTATTTACAGCGATGTAAAATGGACTTCCAACTTTTGTCTAGAGGAAGATTTGATATTTATAAACCAGTTGACGTTGAATCTGTTGAGTTAACCAATCAAGATCATATAAACAGTAAACATTTGGTAATTCAATTTAATAACACTTTTCTATACCTAATAATAATATATATAATATTATATTATTAACAGTCATATTATTTCATATTCATCTTAAATTATTAAAATTACATAATTTATTCCAAATAAATGTTGAGAATTTTTTTTGGTTTAAAATCCAAGCATATATCTTTTATTTTTCCCAATGTTCTGTTTTGATAATAATAATTAAATATTAATTTTTTAATTTCAAAGTAGAACAATGTAATAGTAATTTTAGATTCTGAGCGGAGCGATGAATGTATTGGTTTTACAATGATGTATGTTTTTATATTTTTATTTATATTTTTATATTTTTATATTTTTGTGTCTGTCATCACGTTTTAGGACAGTAAAAGTGCTTCGATTTTCTTCAATAGTACCTTTTCTGATAGGAAAGTGAATCTAGTTGGTACTTTGGGGGGTCAAAAGTAAACATTTTCCAGTAGTTTTCACAAGCGCCGGGAAAAACAACATAAAAATTAAGGAAAAACGGGAATTTTTACGCAAAATCGATTTTCCAAAAAATCGAATTTGGTTATTGGTGTAACTTTAAAACAAATGACCGTAGATACATGAAATTTTCACTGGTTGTTTATATTTGCATTTTCTATACACGATAACATTTTCAAAATATTTTGATTTATTTTGAACTGTTTAGGGACATTTTCATTTTCCATTTATTTTTAGTTTTTTTTCTAAAAATATCAATAAAATTTTATTTGTTGGTTGCGAAAGCTTGAAAATTTAATAGAAAGCTCCTAATATGTTGTTTCAAAGGCAGATGAAAAATATTAAAAATCCTTAGTCACAATTTTTTTTTATAAGCATTTAAAGTTCAAAAATTGACAAAATATGTAAAAATCACGAAAATTAGCAAATTATTTTGAGTTAAGAATTCGTAAAAATTTTTCTTTTTAAATCTAAGATTTTAAAATGAAACACAAGATGCTTTATAAGATTATCTACCTTTATCAATAAAAAAATCTCTACCGGACAGTCAAATTAAATTTTTATGAGCGTTTGAAATTCAAATTTTTACAACATTGGATTTTCACTCGATTTCTCACGTAGCGATTTCCTTATTTTGTTGTAATTCAAAAACGAATAACTGTAGATACATGAAAATTTCACTGAATGTTTATATTAGCATTTCCTATACACCATACAATTTTGAAAATATTTTGACTCTTTTTGAGCTGTTTATGGACATTTACAGCTTTCAATTTTTTTTAGTTTTTTTTTCTATAAATATCAATAAAGTTTTATCTGTTGGGCCAAAAAGTGTAAAAATTTAATACAAGGCTCCTGATATATTGTTACAATATCAGTTGAAAAATATTAAAAATGCATAGGCACGATTTTTTTTTATAAGCATTTAAAGTTGGAATTTTGACAAAATTTATCAAAATCTCAAAAATTATCAATCGTTGGAATTTAAAAATTATAAAATGTTCAGTTTTTATAACTAAGAGTTGAAAATTTAAAACAAAGATTCTCTTAAATAATTCATACTGTAACCAAAAAATCTAAAAAATATATAAACACACTTATTTTTTACAGACATTTTAATTTCAAATTTAGACAAAATTTCATATTTAAACCAAGAATTACGATTTTAGTTATTTTGTTGTGATTGTATAATATTATTCGTGGGTACTTGAAATTTCTAAAGTAATCTACTATATATATCTATGATAGTATCAGGGTTTGTTGTTGGTGTATAACGCGTTTTAAGTACCTAATGGATATTGTGATATGATTAATTTGGAATTCATTATAGGTCAATTTTTTTTAATACCATAGAAATGTATATAATATGTCTTATACCTAGAAGGACATACCGTCTCCGCTCAGAATCGTTTTTCTTATACAATGATATTATATCATTGAATTCAAATTTAATACCATCCATTATACAATGACCCACTTGTAACCTACTGTACAGCAGAGCGACACCCACTTGCCCACCTTTTTATTCATGCATATGATGTTTATGTTTGGTTTTTAGATACTTGATGCTATAACACTTAAAAACCTGCATATATTAGAAAACTCTGCGGGTTCAAATGCAGGAACGTTACTTAACAAGTTAAATCATTGCTCTACACCATTTGGCAAAAGGTATATGTATTATTTTTTGCGTAAAAATATTAAAATTTAACCCTGGCCTAGAATTATAATTAATACCATGCAATAATATTGTTTAGATTACTACACCAGTGGTTGTGTAACCCATTGACAACAATATCCAGCATTAAAGCTAGACAAAATGCAATTTCGTCTTTAATTGTTATTCCCGATTTAATGCAAGAAATACGATCAGAACTAGCCAGTTTACCTGATTTAGAACGTCTGTTTTCTCGGTAAATTAAAACATAATTGTGAACACTTACTGACTTACCTACCTATTTTATTGGATACTTATTTATTATTATTTTCAGGATCTACTCTCAGAGTAGTAATGGAGTTGAATCAGACCATCCAGAAACTAGAGCAGTATACTTTGAAGAGAAGACTTATTCAAAAAGAAAAATAATTGATTTCATATCGATATTAAAAGGTTTCAGAACAAGTGTTAATATAATGGAAAAATTTCAAAGTAATTTTAATTAACGAAAATAGTTAAATGTATACTTCATAATATTGATTAATGAAATATAAATTTTTGTAGAGGCTGATATCATAAAAGAGAGTTCAGAATCCAATTTATTGTCTGCTATTTGTAATTACCCTAACAGCTCTGCCCCTGGAGTATTTCCTCATTTGACTGAACTTCTTGATAATTTTGAGGTAACTAGAAGTTTTTCATAATATAATAATTATATTACATAATTATTAGTTAATAACCATACTCTGTCCAGCAAGATAATGCACTAATGTGGTGCATCTCCCCGGCATTACCCTGCAATCGAAACCGCTTCCACTATGGTAGGGTGTTGCGGTGGCGTGTATCATAAAAAAAATTGGCGTTCAAATAATTTTAGGTGACCTACCCCTCATAATACTGTTATACCGACTTATAAAATGTCTTATTTTTCTTCTTTCAATATTCACCCACCCACATTTAATGTGTTGCCTGAGCAACACTTGGACCCTATGTTATACGCCACTGGGGTGTTGTGTGGGGATGCACAGAAAAACCCAGGCCAGCGGCACATTCTCTCGCTGGACAGAGTATAGGTACTTTATTATGAACTTGGTACTATCATGTTTTAATTTATTATTTATTGTGTGTCAATGATATAATAATGATATATTTCTACATTTTGTATAGAATTCTTTTGATCATGACGAAGCTATGAAACATGGTCGTATCTTTCCCGAGCCGGGGATGGACGATCAGTATGACACTGTTTTGGAAAAAATAAAAGAAGTTGATGTTGAGTTAAAATTGTATTTAAAAGAACAATGCAAACACTTTGGGTGTACTGTAAGTAATTTGTAATTATTTTAAATCTAATTATATCAAGTGTTTTTAATTAATTTTTACCTGAATTTCTGAAGGTCAATTATTTTGGATCTGATAAAAAACGATATCAGTTAGAAGTACCTGACGCTGCATCAAAGAGAGCTGGAGATGGATATGAACTTCAAAACCAAAGAAAAGGATACAAAAGATTCACTACAAGTCGTACAAAAGTTTGTAATTTTTAAATTATTTTTGTTTATAGTTCTTAACAGTATTTGTTCAGGAACTTTTGGAAAAAATGATGAGTTATGAACAAGAAAAAATAGATGTATTGAAAGATCTCAGGGAAAGAGTGTTTTCGCGGTTTTGTGACAAGTTTGAAGAATGGAACAATGCCATCCAATGTTTGGCTACCCTGGATGTATTCATGTCATTAGCAGAATACTGCCGGTGTGAAGAAGAAGTTATGTGTATTCCTACATTCATTCCAGCTATTGTTGGTAAAAAGGTCAGTAGTATAAAATTAAAAACTTTATTTTATTATGTTACTCAATGTTTTTACTTAATTTTAATAAATTTGAGTTAGTTATCTCAAAGTGATATTTTATTTCCTTTCGTCTAGTTATCGCTACTCGACTGTATAAATTAAATGCATGTAAAATAGTTTTTATATACAATTCTAACATTGAGATTGTTTGACTGCTGTTTATTTGATATTTAGCCATTAGTTGAACTCGTCGAGGGGCGTTATCCATGCGGTTCTGGTGGCGAGAGTTTCATTCCAAACGATACAATCATCGGAAAGGAAGAAGATGGAACGTGGAATTCAAGTTTGATATTAGTAACGGGCCCTAACATGGGAGGCAAGTCTACATTGATGAGACAGCTTGGCATCATCTCTGTCATGGCACATATGGTAAGCAACCGTGTCTTGTGGCTTAACCGTATTTTAATCATTGTTCTATGTTAATTTAAAAAAGAATTTTAACTTTTTCTCAGTAAAATTGAATTTCAAATAAAGAATATTAATTATTTCAGTAATCAATAATTTGTGGTAGATTGTGTAAAAAGTTTTAAATATTAATTTAAAATGTATAACAGTTTGCTTTAAGTGTCTAGTATGCTTTTGTTAATGATAGTTTTCAATTAACAAATTATAAAATATCTTCGTTAATTGATGTCTAATTTAATGATTCAAAATAAGTTGTTTGTACTCAAAAAATAAAAATTACTTAATTATTATAGGGATGTCGTGTACCTGCAAAAAGCCTTCTTCTCAATCCAGTTGATAGGATATTCACGAGGATTGGCGCCAACGACAATATAATTGCAGGAGAGTCAACATTCTTTGTTGAATTGTGTGAGACATCAGCTATACTTCATCATGCCAGTCGGTTTTCATTAGTCTTAGTTGATGAACTGGGTTAGTTATGATTGAATAGTTTCATAATTATTGTATATTTATACTTTTTTTATTTTATTATTATTTATATATTTTTGTTATTTAGGCAGAGGAACTTCAACATATGATGGAACAGCAATCGCTTCAGCTGTCGTTACAGAACTAGTACAAAAACAATGCCGTACACTATTCTCTACCCATTACCACTCGTTGGTTGAAGATTTCAAGACGAATCCATTAGTTGCACTTGGTCACATGGTATAAATTCATATTAATATATTTACCATAAATTTATGAACGCATGACAACAAATATACAGGTAATTTGTTTTATTTATTTTTTCGTTCCAGGCATGCATGGTAGAAGACGACGAAACAAACGAAATGGATACTGAGCAAACTCAAGAAACAATTACTTTCTTGTATAAGTTTGCAAACGGAGCTTGTCCTAAATCGTATGGTTTTAACGCTGCTCGATTGGCAGGCATGCCTGCTGACATCATAAAAATTGGTTTACGTAGATCTAAAGAATTTGAAACTGCTGCTAAGCGGCGAATACTATTCAAAACATTGTTTTCGTCCAATGATAAATCTGTTGTGAAGACTGCTATTTTAGCACTATAATTTACGTATTAAGTTCCTTAAACATTATAAGTATTTTCAGACCGAATTGTGTTATTAACATTCATTAATCTTTTTGTATTTATATTTTTTTTGTCTCATTTCACTTATTATACAATACTAAATATTTTTTTTTATTACAAAATTTATTTTTAAAAATCATTCAATAAATTATAAGACTTTCTATTATATAATTTTATTGTGTATCTACAGTATTCTATTTTAGTGATTTTCTCGATTGGGACCAGGACATTCATCCATCAAATCACTGGCATCTTCATATACTGTTCCACAATAAACGCAATAGTTGTAAGTGCGCCTCAAATAAAAAATTAAAATTTCCAATTGTTCGTTTAATGATAGAGTATTTAATTCTTCTGCCTCTGATTCATCTGCATCATCTTCAGGAACTTCCTCAGGCCAAAAGAACTTTTCAGATGGTTCTTGTATATCCTTAAAAACATCATAAATATTTCAAAAAAATTATTTAAGATTCTTCAAATCAAAATATAAAATAAAGCTTAACAATAACTATAAAACACACATTATTTTCAATTTTTGGAATTTTTCAAATCAAAAATAATGTATATCATAAAATTTAAAAACTGGCAAATAGATACTTTTTTTGAAATTAAATTAATGTCAATCTTTTAAACATAAATTATCTTTAATTTATATGAAACAGAAAATCTTTGAAACCTAAGCTGTAAATTATTCCAGTTGAAAAATGTTTGTGAATTGTGTCAACAATTTAGGCTGTTGATATTATACCTGTTCTAAATCCATTTGGCGGCATACTCGTTGGCATCTAAATAAGTCCAAACGGTCTAATTTTTCAGCAGCTTCCTGAGCCCGTCTCTCTCTATACTCGCACACACTGGGTCCTGCTGACCGTCTACTGCGTATCATTGATTTTTTCCATTCTCTGATTTCTCTTAACGCGGCTTCTCTACCCAATCCTTTGCGGTCGGTTTTCAACACGATGCCAATTGGTTCCACTCTTCCGGAATCTACCAAAACACGGCAAAAGTAACTTAAAAAAGCAAAGGCTTTACACAATCCCAGCAGAAACACTCACTGTTTTTGCCAATTCCTGATCCGGGTGTATAACCCATTTTCTGTAAAAGTGAAAAACCTTTGTTGGTGCTGTCAATGGCCTTTTCTAGTCCTTCCTGACGTTGTTGCTCTTCCAACGCCTTTAAGCCAGTGGTCTTGTTTATCAATTGACATTCCTTTCTCTTTTTCATCTGATTGTGAAGTCTTTGCTGTTTGTGAGTCATCAACAGGCCAGGTCGGACATCCTTAACAGTTCTAACAGATCCATACAAGGGTGACTATAATGATATGACAAATGTTCAAACGCAAAGACGTACTCTTATGAAATATGTGAGAAATGCGGGTGTAACAGGCCCCGCTACTGACAATCGTGGATGGAGAAGGAAGTTAAGTTAAGTTGAAAACTCAGATAATATTTCCAAGTGTTTTTTATTAAAATTATTAATTATTCCAAGTACATATATTAAATTTAGTTCCTTGCTAAGGTAGTGACGTGTGGAAATGCTAACTGTAGCTAGTAGATCTGAGTAATCACGTCTGAAATATGGGATGATTTGGGGTCCATTGTATACCCGCAGTGTCCCCCTCTCGGAGTTCCCCTGTTGGTCATATAATTTACTCATTTCCATAACAATTATTCAAAATGTCTATATATATACTTAATTATTGAAGTCGAATTGAACAGATCTCGTAACTACTCATGTAAAAACCAAATAATTCGAGATAATTTATGGATTCGAGTTACAGGTTTTTTCCAGTGTTAACAATACGTAGATCAAAATTCTATTAAAATAATAGCATTAAATAGTTATGAAATGGATGAAAACCTTGTATTGTACATTCCTTCCTCGTTATATTATTATATAATAATTTATAATGTATAAAAATCAGAGCACGTTGTGCAAATAGCAATGGGTACGCACTCGATGTTGAGGAAAGCGTCGGACATGTAGTCGTCTTCTTCGTTGTCTGTTGCAGCCATGTCAACTGCAGTTTTGATACCGGTACCAGCAGTTCGAAAGTCTTTGAGTCTCCAATAGTCCTACTTCCGATTCCCTGCTAAACTAAACGGAAATCGTCTAAACGACATCATCCCGATCATAGACATTAGACAACAAGTATAATATATGATCCCGAATGCCGACTGGTAAAAATTACATGTACGTTCTGTTAGCAATATTTGATAAGAGATTTCAGGGGCTCACAAAATCTATTACTATTCGTCAATTTGTACACAAAGTTGCCTATCTCAATCCTGAAAATGTATTGCTAACGTTCAATAAAATTGTGTTTTTATTGTCTACCCGATTGCCATATTATAAATGTTGCTTATGAAAAAATCTATTGCCATTGTTCAATTTCTTTATTTATGACTTATTCAACTATCAAAAAATCTATTGCTGTTGTTCAATTTCTTCATTTTATTAGTTTATTACATACATATACAATACTCAAAGTAATAATTGTATCGGATTTATAATTGTTTTCATTTTGAAGAGAACTGTCTATAAATAGTTTAATTCTCTTTACACATACTGCTGAACTTTCATTTATATGATTATCATTTATCTTCATAGCTTCATTTTCTTTAAAACTTAACTGACAACGTTTGAATACTCTGATTTGATTTCTACGATCACATTTAACTTTTAATAGCTTGCATACTAAATTAGCAATGTCTGCAGTTGTATATTTACAAAAATCATTTCTCGAGTAATCATTACCTTCAATCTGTTTACGCAAATTTGTATTATTTTCTGTTTTTGCTCAAAGCTGAGTTTGCATTGTTTAATGCCGTAACTAAATTTTTTTTAGCTTTATTGCATTTACCTTTTTAGGAACGAATGCAGTTTAGCTCCCAAGCGATTTTTTGGAATTTTTTTTTTCAAAATGTGTGTTTTTGCATGCCTAATTTGATGGTAGTTTCAAAAAATGCCGGTCGAACTTATTTTGGATGTTATGGTAAAAAAACTTCTAAATGCTAAATTTTTTCAAAAATCGTGTTTTTGAATTTAAAATTTTAAAATACCAAAAATTTAAGTTTTTAGAATTTTTTTTTTTTTAGAAATGTTTGTATTTATATGCTCAACATTTTGGTTGAATCAGAATTTGCCTATCGTACTTACTTTTTATGTTATTGTTAATAAACCACATAAAACTGAATTATAAAGTTATTTCAAACATTTGCATATTTGAGAAACTCAAAATTGATTTTTTTTTTTTTACTATTTTTTTTCATTCTATGAGTAATAACATAAATAAGTTTTTGGTGAAATCAGAACTAACTTATATTTTTTGGTTTGGGAGAAATTGGTTTACACGTGGAGCTCCGCTAGTGTTTTCGGCGCAGAGCCCGCGTCGCCGAGCCAAAATAACGTACGGTCAACAAATGCGACCCGAGGTACTTTTCCTATGTCAAATACCAGTTTAAAATGGCATTGAACGTGTTAAAAATAATAAGCAATAACAAATAAAAATGTACAGATTTAGATAATGTACATTATATTATATCAGTATCGTCGTCATCAGAAACGTCGACCCCATCGTTGTTATATTTATTTGGATCGTATAAATTACCGGCTAAACGGAAAAATTCAATAGTAGGGTCTAGATTTAATAAACGGCATTTTTTGAAAAACATAAATTTGGCCATGTAGCCGCCATAGAAATGTTTTTTCCTTGAGTATTGAGACAGCGAAGCTTTTGCATGTCTCCACATTCCCTCGACGGTGTTGGTGTGGGCGTCTGTATTTGACTCTTTAAAGTTCCTTGAATGATTAACTTTAAAATGTATGAAGCCTTCATCATTCAAACAGTCGTAACTCTGCAATATAGTTATATATAAACAAAACGTCAAACCGAAAAATAGATTGATAAAGTTTTCCAACAATCGCTTATTATCTGCGTTCCAGGCAACACCTACTGTTTAATTATAGCTAGCAATGTTTCCTTATCCCGCTTTTCGACAGGAATTAGAAAACACGCTCCATTATCTCTTTGTATACCACCAAATATCCACTGACCCTCAACTGCATGTCCTCTATGGTATTTGCGTTTTCCAAATTTGGACTCATCGATCTCAACCGTTTTACCCACTCCTCCTAATAATCGTTATATTAAAATATTCAGACACAGCAAATTATAATTACATTTTGAACTTTTAAACTTTTAAAGGTAATAATTAAATTTATTTTTTTAGGAGGCCAAAAGTAATAAAAAAAAACCCCCGATGGGGGGGGGGCATGGATAAATTAATATAACGATTACAATGTCAAACTGTTGGGAACTGAAAAACTGCATTTTCAAATAATAAAGTTTTAGAATTTACTTTTTTTTGACTTGAATTTGTGGAATATTCTCGACATCTCCATAATACATATCCGTCCAGACAATTTGCTCTCAAACATAATTTAAGATAATGCCCGTGATCACATTTTAGTGAATTGTTTTTGGCAATTAGTGTCCAAGACTGCAATTTTCAAGCACTGCTATAGAAACATCCCCTTGACGTTTTCGCTCAAAAAGCTCGTAAATATCAATAAAATTGAGAGGCATGTTTATAACAGTTATTAGGTACCTAATAGGTACAGGGCCGGATTTGACGGGGGCATTAAAGGCATATGCCCCGGGCCCCCAAGTTTTAGGGGCCCCCGAGACTTGAAATGAAAAAAATAAAATTAAAAAATTAAAAAAATAAAATTGCAATTTGGAACCCAAATTTTGGGTTCTCAAACTATATTTAAAAAAAAAATATATAGTTTTGAAAATAAAAATGAATTAGGTATAAAATATAAATTAAATTGTACTACAGTACAGGGCCGGATTTAAACATTATGGGGTAGGGGAAGATGGGGAATGGCGGCCACTTAAGCGGGAGCACGTGTATCTCCGGTAATAAAAATCCAAATATTTTACTGTCAATTACATTAGAACTATAAAGTTGTTAGCATATATAAGTTTCAAATTTTTAATGTTAAGTGTAATATTTTTTATTTCCATTTTTTTAAAAAACTCAAATGACCGGCATTACCCTTATAGTGGGGTAATACCAGTCACATAAAAATACATGTAAAAGTATAGGACAAAATATAAATTTCTAAAAATCATACAAATAATGAGCAAATTAATATGTTGTCAGTACAGGGATATTCATCAATATTAAGAATAACTTAAGTGTATTAGATATGTTTGTTTTTAGATTCTGAGCGGAGCAAGGAAGCTAGTGGTTTTACAATGGTGTTTATTTATTTATTTTTTTATTTATTTTTTTTATATCCTGTATACAAAATTTCTACCAGAAGGAGTGCTTTGATTTCAACATATAGTACCTTATCTTTTAGCAAATTGGACCAAGATGGTACTTTAGAGAGGTCATTTTCTCAATAGTTATTTAATGCCACTGGAAAAAGTACTGAAAAATTACGAAAAACCGCTTAAAATGGGATTTTAATTTCTAACAATTTGTTTATCACCGTAGCAACGAATAAAAAAAATAATAATTAAATAAATAAAATAATTAATGACAATATTATAAAATATACAGACTGACAAACCGTCTCCGTTCAGAATCGTTTTTCTTATACAATGATATTAATAAATATTATATCATTGAATTCAAGTTTAAATCAGGGCCGTATTTAGGGATTTTTCGCCCCCGGGCACAATATTTATGGCACCCCTTTCCAACACATTTTTTTTAATACCGTTGAAGTGGTGGCTAAATTTTATTTTTTTTTTTTGGAGGGGGGGGCATAAAGTTAATTCATTTTAGATTCTGAGTGAAACGATGAATGTATTGATTTTACAATGATGTGTGTTTTTTTCTAAAAATATCAATCAAATTTTATTTGTTGGATGCGAAAGCTTGAAAATTTAATAGAAGGCTCCTAATATATTGTTTCAAAGTTAGATGAAAAATATTAAAAATCCTGAGTCACAATTTTTTTTTATAAGCATTTAAAGTTCAAAAATTGACAAAATATGGAAAAATCACGAAAATTAGCAAATTATTTTGAGTTAAGAATTCGTAAAAATTTTTCTTTTTAAATCTAAGATTTTAAAATGTAATACAAGATTCCTTATAAGATCTACCTTTATCAAAAAAAAAATGTCTGTAAGAAAGTCAAATTAAATTTTTATGAGCGTTTGAAATTCAAATTTTTACAACATTGGATTTTCACTCGATTTCTCACGTAGCGATTTCCTTATTTTGTTGTAATTCAAAAACGAATAACTGTAGATACATGAAAATTTCACTGAATGTTTATATTAGCATTTCCTATACACCATACAATTTTGAAAATATTTTGACTCTTTTTGAGCTGTTTATGGACATTTACAGCTTTCAATTTTTTTTAGTTTTTTTTTCTATAAATATCAATAAAGTTTTATCTGTTGGGCCAAAAAGTGTAAAAATTTAATACAAGGCTCCTGATATATTGTTACTATAGCAGTTGAAAAATATTAAAAATACATAGGCACAGTTTTTTTTATAAGCATTTAAGGCGGCTCTAAACGATTGGATTTTTCATGCATTTAGACCAATAAGCTGGCGAAAAAAACACATACTTCTAGTAGTCCAATTTCAATTTTGAATACTTATTTGGATTCGTTAGCCTCTTTTCTATGATCTGTAGGAAAAACTTTTTCATCTTTTTGTCTAGTTAGCACTTAAAAGTGCAAGTTAAATTTGAGAAATCAAGCAGTCATTTGGAACCGTAATATACGTAAATTATCTAAAATATCCAAAATCGGTTTCCTACAAATCATAGAAAAGAGGCTGACGAATTCAAATAATTTTTCAAAATTGAAATTGGACTACTAGAAGTATGTGTATTTTTCGCCAGCTTATTAGCATTTTTCACTGTTGTGAGTGTACAAAAATATTTTTCGAGAGTGATTACGTTGACTTGTGCATGCGCGTACGTGTGCTATTGAACCGTGTGCCCGCAGCCGTGCGATATAAAATCTATTGTTATCGAG